GTGATGTACGCGTATATCAGTTAGCTGGCCAGTCTTCCCACCAATGCCATTTCAAGAAGCGGCGCAGAAAAATAGCTAAAATACATTTTATCCATTCGAATGTCACGCAAAGCATTTTCCTCCATTTGCATTTTGTAACGGGGCCAAGGAGTAAAGTATAATAGCCTATTATCCCGTACCAGTGTGACTTTCGGAAGAATGGCGTCTCAACTTCTTCCTCTAGGTGAGGCTCGACTTAACTTGATTTGGTTCACTGATGAACTCTTATGGTTTTTGTATGCTAAACACTATAATTTTTAGAGTTGATTGATAAATGTGTGGGTTCAAAAATCTGGGTTGTCATGAAAGGGGATAAAGGTATGTATACGCGTGGAGTTGCTTCTTTATGATATTGATACTCATTGACGGAGTACACGAATTTGATCTCTTTTCCCCGACTTCCCGGATGTCCGTGTATAATGCAAAAGTTCAATCTAACATTAAATATAGAATTCTCAGGCACCCTGCTCGGTTTTGATGACTACGTCAGTATGTTGAGCCCCCTGCTCCTCTGCCCCCGATAGAATGGTAGTAGGTCCTGGGAGCTATTGACTGACATATATCCTAGATATGGTTCTCGAAGATGTAACTGAATTGTACGTTTTCTTACTACAAAGTTTCGTTTTTACGTGCATTCAAACGTCCACTTGATTCATGTATGAAACGAGTTATTCTGACAACTTTTATAGTGACTACACCGGCGCTCAGACCAAACTACCGAAGATTCTCCTGAACGGAAATAATGTCTGCATGGTAAGCGCGGCATCTGCTACAACCTTCTATGGGTCGAATGCCTTCATTGATCCTTCTGCCATTTCTTTTTTCTTTTTTTCTTTTTTACTTTTTTTTCACTGCGCTTTGAATTTACCGTTGACAGAAAAAGTAGTTGATCCCGGGTGGTGAAGGGCCCTCTGCTGCTGGCTCATAGCAACATCACTGAGTGTGGACCTAATTATTTCCGCAATCGCCAAATCCAGTTTGCATACCTGATTCATGGCAGGAAGCTGAATGAATATATTGGATCAACGAGATTTGATAATTACTGGAACCTTTGTTGTTGTGTTTGTTTTCTTCCAAGCCAGGAAGCCGCAGGGATCAGTCGGCCGCACGACGAATCTGCCCGCTCAGCTTAATAACTCAGAGTTTGTAGTATGATTTGGCTCTTCTTCTGTTTTATCAACTTGATTTTACTGGTGTTTGTGAAATGGACGATTGAAGATCATGCGAAATGGTGTAAGCGGAACGGATATGATATTCCAACCCTTCTGGGAACTTCAAAGAATGTTAAATAAAATTATTGAGACTATTCATTATATGAATCGGCGGGAAGTGCGCAAATTACCACCATGCGACTCATACAAAATCTAAGAAGAATAAAGGGATTTAAGGTCTCATTAAAATATACAACTCAAAACTTTTCAGGACGCCGAGCACCTGTCAGACGTAGATAAGAAAATAGATGAAAGACAACAGCAGAGATAGTCTTAGCTGAAAATCAACCTCCTTCACTTGAAATAGAGAGCGAACTAGCTTTGTTTGATTACTGTGGGGATCTCTATTATGACAGAGTGGCAAGCTTGATTGATTGCAGAGATTGCACACTACAAGAACGACTATATATGGTGGAAAGCAGGTCACGTGATGGAAGTGTTTGACGCCCTCACAGGAGAACTCAATTCTATATACAATAATAAGCCTATTGCCAAGTACAGATACAAAATCAACTGAAAAAACAAGACTGTGAAAAAATCAGTTAAAATGAAGATATTGAAAAAAGAAATGCATTTCTCCTTTCAAATTTGCAATCTTCTTTCATTGTAAGAATTTAATAACTTTTAATGATATAATAAGATTATTTATCACAGTATTTATAAATTATATATATTATGAAATAATCTTAATCTTGTGAATAAAATCTCAAAAAAAAATAAATAAATAAAAATAAATCATTATATTCTTAATATTATATGATATATCTTCATTAAAGAAAAATTATATTATAGACTTGTTATCACTATGAATAATAAATATAAAAATATTAATTAAATTTAAAACAACTTTATCAGTAGTATTTAGTTCATTAAGCTGAGAGAATAGAAATTCAATATTAGCAAGAAGCTTTTAGAGATTAACTAACTTATAAACAGTCTCAGAAGATGAGATATTTAGTTTCTGTAGAGAATTTAAAAATATTTATCTATTTATAACTTTTTCAAATGATAAAATTATTAATAATATAAAAAATATAATCAATAATAAAATAAAAATTAGAATTTTTAACTATTTAATCAATATTAGTATAGATTATAAATTCTATATTAAGTATTTATAATAAATAATATTAATATCTAATATACTTACTCTGATCTATTAGTTCATTTTAATTATTTGATTCACTTTCATTTGATAGCTCATTTTACTTATTTAATCAATATATAAAAAAAAAATCAATAAATTTAAACTCGGAATTTAAAAAATAAAAACTTTCAATTTATAGTAAATATAATATATTTAAATATTAAATAATATAAATAAATATAAGTATTTAATATATATAATTTTTATATATAATTTTTTATAGTTATTATTTAATTTAAAATTATATCAAATAGAATATAAAGAGTAATTTAGTAAATTATTGATTATATTAATAATTAATTGAATTATTTTATTAAGTAGTTTAATAGATTATATATATTTAAATTTAATATCATATAATACACTATAATTAAAAGAATTAAAATTCAAATTCAAATAATTATAATAATTAAATTGTTATACAAATATAACAAATAAATATACAAGTCAAGAGTAGATGTAAATAAAAAAAACTCTAATAGCTGATCAATAAAAGATAATTAAAAACACATTAATAAATAAAATATCAAAAAGATATATTCTAATAGATAAAGAGTTTCAAAGTGGCTCATCAATAATTACAAAACCCTTCAATTGGGAGGTGGGTTTAAAGATTAGATGACTGTTATGGAATTGTGCTCGTCCTTATTTCAGTATAAACCACTGGTGATTGGGCCTTTTTGCCAGGTAGTCTAACAAGTTCTACTCAAATGACTCAATGGTGTTTCATATCACATGGGTACGTGGCTCAGGTGAAATACGTTACAGGGAATGCAGCACAGTCAAGGTTCATTGCAAGGCCATCTTTTTATATTCGATTCCCGAAGAATCGGCTGAACAGTTTGAAGGTCAGTGTCTCATTTTAGGGTTAACTAGAGGAGGTTTTCAGGCGAATTCCTAGACTAACTAGCATTAAGAATAAGGTTCGGCAAGCTTCTCTAAATCCTCCAAAGTGAACGCTAGAACGATCGAGATATTGTGGGGACATGATGACGTCATATATGGGGTCTGTAAGTTGCTCAATGTTGTTGTGGTTTTTATTGTTATTCATGGAGATACAACATAGCTGATATCACCAGTAAAAAAACTTTTCTGGTATTACCGTGTCGCAGACTCGCGTTTCCCGCAAACTAGGTCTGAGCCTTGTGATTCCTCACATGAACGCAACGGGTCACCGAAAGCAAAGAGTGCATATAGATCTTAGACCTCTGCTGTGATTGAAAGGCTGTACTGCTTTTCTTCTTTGCGTGGATGGAATTCCGAAGTGATGGGGATACCTCCTGTACACTGGGAATCTCAGCAAGTTTGAGTATCTCTAAATGTATCATACCTCATGATAATTTTGTTCTGGTAAAACCTGTTCAAGACTTTGTTTTATTAATCTGCCCTGGATGATGGCATTATGCCGTAGATACTGCGACGTGCCGCTGTGAAAGCTGCTGACTTGAATACATTCTGTGACATGTTAAAACTTGCTTTTGGGCCAACGAATCCTAAGCCATGTACATTTTCTTTTGGGAATGCCATCCAGACTCGATGCGCACACTTTCCGATACAAGTCCTGGATCCAGCTGTTTTGTGGCCCCTTGATCGAAAGAAGCTGGGGAACTTGGACTCCATTGTACTCTTCGCCTTTCGATACAGCCTTGCTATGAATAGACGTCATATATCATTCCATATTAGCTTTAGTTGTTTCTACCCCTCCAGCACCCAGCTTGGCCCAACTGAGACAACAACCATTGGGACAATGGGTTTGCCTTTGAACCTAACAGCCAGGATACAGCATGTGGAGTTGGGTGTTAGAAGGCGGGGAGAGGAATTGAAATGGATATAAAGGGAGTCAGAATCTTCTCCTTTATCTTCTTCTTTTGTTTCCCTCCACTACCGCTCAGTCATTCATATTCTACGCAAAGTGCATAGTTCTTCTAGTACTACATGCTAATACCTCAAAAAGTTCTACAAACCAACCGCAAAAATGCTAAACATCAAAGTCATCTCCACCATGCTGCTCATTACCACCTCCTCTCTCCTCGCTACTGCCCATCCAGCAGCAGATTTCAGTGATGGCTATTCCCCAAAGGAGCATTATCCCAACGCCCTTGTCTGCCCTACTTGCAATCCTGTTTCGGGCAAAAACTTCTGTGATATAACTACGTCCTGTATCAACATGGGTTACAGTTTCCACTGCGCCTGCCGTGCCGGCTATAAAGCGACCAAGTACGACGACCCCTACGGCAAGAAACAGTTCCGTCTCCCATTCAAGCACTACGAGTTCCTCGTTTTCACTCCCGAGAAGACAGAGTGTAATACCCTTTGCAACGATCCTACTGCATCCGCCGATAAGCTTTGCAGTGAGGTGCCGCTTTTGGACTGCAAGTTGTAAGGATGCATTTTGTGGATGAAGGAGAGATAGGATAATGTGGCGGTGGAGAAGGGGAGGTCTTGAGCATATTTGGGGTTTTGGATAGACTGTTGTTTAGAGAGGAAGGGAAGTTCAAATTTTGGCGACAACCAAGACAACGTTTATGTGTGGACGGGAGGGAGCGTGGGATGCGAACTTTTATGAAGTTCAAGTCAACCGTGTTATGGATAATGATATATATTGATCAAGTTGGGTGAGATTTATGGGCAATCATTCCTTTGTTTTTGGCTCAAAACCGCTTAATATACTAGTTAGTTGACACTATCAATCAACCCCTTATTGTCATTCTCTGTAGAGCTATGTTACTAAACCGTTATTTATATGCGTAGCCCTTTTGGATACCATTATCATGTCTTTCTGAGGGAAAAATAATGATATAAATGACAAATTATTGGCTCGATTCAGCTCTATGTGGTATTCCGTGTTCAGTTGGCACCACACATACAACCCCAAGATACATCTCCTGAGTTCAAAACAAAGTCAACGGTCCATAGTTTTAAAACTACTCTAAGGAGGGGAAAAAAGTGGGAAAAGAGAAAAAAAAGAAGGAAAGAAGACACCAAAGGGTTAAGTATTCGAGAGAAGCCAGCTACAGCTTCGCTTTAAGCCGTTCAACAGTATCCTCCTTCCGCGCCCGATCCTTCAACACCCGTCTCAGAATCTTCCCACTGGCACTCTTCGGGATTTCATGAACGAACCTCACCCCTCCTCGAAGCCGTTTGTGTGGCGCAACCTTCCCGGCAAGCCACTGCACAATCTGCTCTGCGTCTGCGGCAGTCCCGTCCTCTACCTTCTTACCGCTTAACACAACGAAGGCGCGGGGTACCTCAGAGCCATGTACCTCGCTCTCAACACCTATGACAGCAACGTTAGCAATCAACTCGTTCTCGACTAGGACACCCTCAAGCTCAGCGGGTGCCACCTGGAAACCCTTGTACTTAATACGCTCCTTGACGCGATCAGTGATGTACAGGTTTCCATGCTCATCCTGATGCCCGACATCGCCAGTGCGGAACCAGCCATCCTGAGAAAGACATGCTGCAGTTGCCTCTGGGTTATTGAGGTAACCAAGGAATACGTTGGGGCCGCGCACATAGATCTCCCCAGTTCGGCCGACGTGGAGTTCAACAGGTTCACTTCCGTCGTCGGGGGAGGTCATATACTTGATTTCCTGGTTGGCAGCAGAAGGCCGACGGAACCAATGAATTTATTCCAATCCCCCCACGCTTGCGTATGTGTTGTCGGGCTTGTTTCGCTGAGGCCGTAGCCCTGTTTGACGCCAGTCTTAATGCGGGCATACACAGCGTTGACGAGCTCGCGACTGAGCGGCGTGGCTCCGGAATTCATCAAGCGCAAGGAAGGCAGGTCATACTCTTCAACTATAGAGTGTTTGGAAAGGAGGACTGCAACAGGAGGAACAATATAGGAGAAGGTAATGCCAAAGTTTTGGACGTGGGCACACCATTTTTTGATATCGGATTTAGACATGACAACCAGCTGGATACCGGTGTACATGGATTTATGGACGAGGCAGCTAAGGCCTAAATTCTGTGGTTAGTATATGTTCTCTTATGAGGTTATATTTGGTATAAATGAATGGCTACACACCATATATGTGGAAGAATGGCAAAAACGCCAATACTTTGTCGCCATTCCTATCCTTTCCGCCAGCGCAACTTAAATGGTGTTCTTCTCCCGCAGTAATCTGTATAATATTTGAAACAATATTTCTGTGCGAGAGCATAACCCCTTTCGGTATGCCTGTCGTTCCCGAGCTGAAGGAAAAACGCCAGATCCTTCGCTGGATCGACGCGCGTTTTGCGATACCTCGTTGCGCGGGAAATATTCTGTATAGAAGTGAAATGCTTAAACTTGGCAGTTGAATCCCTCCTATCGCCGAGCAGGACAATACGGTCATCGAGGATGCCGGCTAACTTCGCAGCAGCGATAGCAGTTGGCAGGAGGTTTCACTGGGTAACAAGCACTCTGGCTTTTGTCCCCTTAAGCTGGAGAGACAATTCCTCCGCGGTATATGTTAGGTTTACGAGGGTGACGGCTCCACCGGGCCAATGAGTTCCCCAAATCACCGGGGGGATGTCAATGTCGTTTGGGGAAAGAAGGGCCAAGACGTCACCCTTTTGCCAATTCCAAGTAGCTTTCAGGCCTTTCCCGAAATCAAGGGCAATGCTTTTGACTTGGAAAGGGAATAAGTGTAGGAGCGGAGAGTGTCGGCATCTTGGAATATCACTGCAAAGATGTTGTTAGAAAACACTGGCGGTCAGACAGGCGAACAGCCCAGCGACAGAAGGGGTATGCATACACTAACTAACCTTTATCGTCAGCGAAAAGCCTTTTCTTTTTTTCAAACAACAAAGACCATAGATCCACATTTGGTATATCTACCGGTGGATAGGGTGACTGGGCCTGCATGATGGTAGGCTAACACGACACTGACAATAGTAAAGTACTAGAAAACAACGTCTACATTCGGGATACTCCTAAACAAGGCTCAGAAAGAATGAATAAAAAATGAGTTTTGAATAGGTGTAAAGGTTAGGAAAGAAATATGGCATTGGAGATGGGGGAAGCGAAGGAGAAATTGGGTCGTAAAAGCCGAACGGCAGTTGCTGGACACCTTGGAACCCGTGGACATTGTGGGGATGCAATCGTACTATGAAGCAAGTCATGCTGGGGCGGCAAAATAATTGGCCTATCCCGAGATCTTAGGCCGATAAAGCCGTCGTCCCTTGGCCGGATATTAGATGAAAAAAATCCTCTCTACCGCTGTGAAGGTAGACAATTGTCTGCGAATTTTGTGAAAATGAATATCTATATATAAAGATGTTCCAACATGGAGTTCGAAAAGGAGTCCTTCGACAAACGAAGCGAATAGTTGCTTGGACGTGGAAAAATATGCTGTTTGACGATAACTACATGTCCACAGCATTTAACTACGGAGAAACTAGACTTTTTTAAGCCAATAGTATCCACACATGAAAAGGACAGGAACAGCGACAATAAATAATACAAGTTCAAACCCTGCTGCACCAGGATATCAGCGTTATCAAAGGGAACAGGGATATCTACCAGAAGTTACCTGGGTATCTGTGAGCACGCAATCCCTTATTTGCAAGCAGCCTGCTTCCATCAGGGGATATTAAACATCCAGCTTACTAACAGGGGAATAAGTGAGATGTTAGACAATTAACCGGGCCCTAGTGGTTGATTTCATAATCAACCTCCGGTCGGACCCTCGCATATGAGGGTCCACCACCTCAATGTGAACCACTGTAAAGGGTTAAGCTCTAAGAACTAGAGGCTAGTCCTCCTATATAACAAGGATGAATTGCTTGAGAAAGGGAAGAAAAGAATGAGATGAGAACTTGAGCTTAAGCAAGCTCACGTAGCATGATCACATGCACACATGCAAACAATGACTAGGCTGAGTCAGCCAGTCAGAGCAAATCTAGGGGTTCAATCTCTTATAATACTCCTCTTCTCCCTCTTTGTTGCAGGCCTTTACAACTATTTAAAGTCCTCTTTACACCTAATTTTGCCTGCTGAGAGACCTCTCAAGTGTTCAAGATCTTTGCTTCTTGTAGAAGACTCACATCATTCCATGTAGACTCAGCTCAATCTACTCATTTAATGAGATATTACTTTTTTCTACAGTAGGTTTATTCACTTTGAATTTTCTCAATCTCAAATTCAGATTCTTTCAGAGTCTCTATAGTGAGTGACTGCCAGTCAGTTTGCCTCTGACTAGGCAGAGAATTCATCATCATAGTATGTAGAAGCTTTACATTAAAGATATTATGAATGTCAGATGAAATATTCAATCAGTAAGCATGAGATTCTATCTTTTCTAGCACAGTATATTGATTGTATTTCACATTTAGCTTCTTGCACAGATGATTAGTTCTCATGTTCTCTAAGCTCAATCAGATCTTATTTTCAGATTGAAAGCTTGAAGCTAAGTCTCTTTATCTATTCACATATTTCTATTGAGATTGCTGAGCATTTGTCATTTTTACTTAAGCTCACTTCAACACTTCACAGATCTTTTTCATATAATCATCTGCAAACTCAATGAGATTATGTGATATTTCAATGAGAGGTGCATCAGCTATATCAATGAAGAAGATGTGAAAAAGATGTATTAAAAAGAATGAGCTTACACTCATTGAGACAGCATCTCTATTATTGATGATCAGCTCTGCTAGAGAGAGTCATTCACATCAGTCATTCTGTTGAAAGCTAATATACTTACATAGATAGATTTTCAGAGTCTGATTCATTCACTCTGTAGCTTCATCAGTCTCTGAGTGATAGACTGTAGAGAGTCATCTCTTAATATCTAATTTCTCACACATCTGAGTTCAAAACATGCTTGTGAAAGCTGACCATTAATCTGACACTATCATATTAAAGATATCATGTTAAGAGATAATGTTGCAAAGAAACACTCTAGCTACTATCTCTGTATCAGTTTTCTTAACTGCTTTTAATATAATTCTCTTGATCAGTCTGTTCAATATAATCATGATGTTCATGTATTCTTTAAAGCTTGATAAGTTCACAATAAAGTTCATAAAAAGCTTCTGTCACATATGTTCAGAAATGAGGAGAGGCTTAAGCAGTTTCTGATGTTGATCTCTTCATGCAATGTTTGATCTGTAAAAATAACAGTTTCTGATCATTCTTCTCACATTGATGATATAGTCTGATCAGTAGAACTCACATCTTAGAACTTCTGCCATTTGCTCTCACTCAGAATGACCAGTAAAAGGTGAGTCATGAGTCTCATACACTAATCTGATTTGAAGAGGTTTGAAGTATGACACTCACTTACAATTTCAAAAGAGAAGCTCTCTGTTCTTATTTAAAGAGCACTCAGAGATGAAGATCTTAATACTGAGTTCAGAAGAAAATTTGAATCTTCTCTCATGAAGAGTTTGCTTCAGATGCTGCAGAATCTTGTCATTTTTGTGAGTCTCATTTCACTGAACTTGAAGAGACATCTCAGATTTCACACTGACAGCAGTCACTATTGATTTCATTTCAGATGTCAGTATGTTAAACTTAAGTAGTTGAGCTTGTCTCTGCTTGATTCTTTCATCATCAGCATTCTGTGACATGTTCTGCTCTCTTCATAATAGAGCATCTGATTCAGCATTCAACTTCTCTGACTGGTAATCAATTCTGAAGTTGAATCAATAGAAAATATTCATTCAATGTAGCTGTCTTTCATTTAGTCTGTGTGTAGTCATGAAGTATTCTAAATTCTTATGATCTGTGAGAATCTTGAATTTCTTTACACTTTGTAGCTCAGTGTTCTATTTCTTTAAACACTCAATTATCACTAATAACTTCTTATCATAAATCTCATAGTTGCATTCCATAGGTGAATGCTTGCAAGAGAAGAAGGCACATAAGTGTAGAATGCTCTGCTCATCATATTGTAGCAGCACTATTTCTGAGATGTAATCTGAGAAGTCTGTTTTCAGTATAGTCTCACAGTCAGAGTTGAATTAAAGCAGGATCAGAACAGAGATAAACATTGATTTTAGATGCTTAAAAGCTTTCTCAGCCTTGCTCATTTACAAAAAAGAAACATTCTTGCATATAAGAATTGACAGTGAGATTATGATCTTCAAGAAATCCTTGATAAATTGTCTATAGAAATTGGCAAAGTCTAAAAATCCTTGTACATCTTTAAGAGTAGTATATGTCATTCATTTCAAAATAGCTTTAACCTTCTTCAGATTCATTCCTATACCCTTACTCACTTCAATAATGAATTTAAGATATTTTGTGCTGTTCATCTTAAACTCACTCTTTCTAATGTCTGTCTGTAGGTCAGCTTTCTGTAGATGCATAAGCATCTTTTGTACATGCTCATGATACTCCTGTAAGCTTCTTGAGGAAAATATCAAGATGTCATCTAAATAGACTGAGCAGAAGTCATCCAGATATCTATGTAATGCTCAGTTAATATATTTTTGAAACATGCTCAGAGCATTGGTCAAATCAAAGAGTGTAATCAGTCACTCAAATAGCCTGTATCTGGTTCTAAAGGCTATCATTTACTCATCACCTTTCATGATTCAAATCTTGTGAAAAGCTGTAATAATATTCAGCTTAGTGAATCATTTAGCCTGTTCAATTCACTGTAGAGTCTCACTGATTAATGATAAAGAATATCAATTCTTTTAGATGATTTTATTAAGAGCTTGATAGTTCATATAGAATCTTAGTTCATCTTCAGACTTCTTCACAAATAGTATGAGAGCAGCTACAGAGGAGTTGCTCACTCTAATAAAACTTTTATCTAGATAATCTGTAAGAGTCTTTCACAAAGTCAGTAGTTTCTTTTGAGATATATTATATAATGAGCCTCAAGGGGGTTGTTCTATGCTATCATCAGTCTTTTTAATCAGTTCAATTTTATGATCTCTACCTGGGTCATGAAGTGAGAGTAGAGCATTGACAGCTTCCTTATCAAATATATTCAAAAACTCATGATAATGTTCAGGCAGCTTTTCTCTAAAGTTAATCTTTGATTTCATTTCTAGAGTCTTTTGAATGTCAGTCAAACTGACAGTGAAGATCTTGATGTTTTACTTTTCTTGAGTGCTCACAAGTCTAGAGAAGCTTATGACAAAGATGAGAATCACATCAGCTTTTGCATTTGAACTAGACTCTATCTCTATGCCACTCTCTTCAAATCTCATAATTCTTTGATGAGAGATCACAGTTGCCTTTTGCTGGGCCAGCCAGAGGTCACCTAGATACATATTATGATCATGTAACTCATTCACCATGTAGAGAAAGGCTCATTCAGTTACATGACTGCCTATATCAATTCAAATGCTAGTCACTATGCTTGTGGAGAGTCTCATGGAGTCTTCAAAGCCAGTCATTTTAACAGAGGGAATTTCAATGCACAGGAGCTTATACTTGTTAACATAGAATTGAGAAATAAAATCATAGACATTACATTCACTGTCTATCATTGCTCTAGTTGAAAAGGCATTATCTACTAGAGCATCAACAGTGAAGAGTTTGAATATCATCTTAGATTTAAATCTTCTTCATTGCTTCTTCATAAGCTTCTTATTTTACTCCTTTCAGTGTCTTTTGATTGAAGCTACTCTTTTTTTCTAATCCTCACTCATATTCACATTATCATTATTCAGTACCAGCTTAGAGATCATCTTAACTATTATAGTGGTGGCAGAGCATCTGAAAGATTTGAACAGACAGCTCTTAATCATATAATCTCTGACTCTGCATCTCAGGCACAGGCCTTGCTCTCTTCATCAATTAATCTCTGTCTGATTTATCAATTTGGCATGATGAGTGCTTAGGGTCATAGTACCAGGAGAAAGATTTATCAGATCATTAGTGGAAGCTTAAAACTAGTTTTA